CAGCCATCATTAGGCTGTACTGCAGGGGCTCTCCATGCCAAATTCCAGTCCGGACTGAACTCTGCGCTTTGTAGCTGGCAGCAGTACAAATGTGGAACCGCACTTTAGCACCCAGGAGGGAAAATAAATCCTGAACGGCTTTCTCAAAGCATTTTAGGGCAAGAAACTTATTTTCCAACCACGGTCACACTGGATGGTGAAGTACCTCTGCCTTTTTACAGTGTTCCAACATTTTTAATCAAGAAAATGTAATGGCTTCTTGCCATATACAGTGCAAATATCATAGTAGCTCTCAGTACTGAAGAAAAATCACTCTAAGATGAGTTGATGACAAACATGATGGAAATACTTTTTTCCTTTCTCCTGTTGCCAACGTGACACTTTGGGGTTGCTATAGGGCAAACGCCCTTATGTGAAAACAAGCCTTGGTAACCAATCTCGCAGATGCAAGTCACTTGGCTGCGCAGCCCGTCGCCAAAACTACTTGAAGTAGAGCTTTGCTGTGCATCGTGGTGTGGATCAGCAGCGTCCTCCTCTGGTACGTTTCCTTCTCCCTTTACACCGGATGAGGCCAACACACAACCACCGTGAAAAGGCATGCCAAAAATACAAAGGGTTAAAGATTTTCCAACAGGTATGCCTGTATCAATAATAAATGTAAGGCCAAAAGTAATTAGGAGGAGTGACATTATTATTACTTTAAGAAGCTCCAAGGAAATCTCATTACTGAACACGAATTCACAAAGCAATACTAACACAGCTATTTACCCTATCTCTTTTCATGTACTACCTACAGTTTTTCTATGATTGTCATTTGGATGATGTATGGTATTTTTTCCATTCCTAGTTCTCAAGATGAGACATTCGGGCATCTTTATGTATGCAGAACACTAGCAAATCACTCCGACAAACTGGCAGAAAATTCAGTGTTACCTGGCTGTTAACTTCAAACAACTTCTGGAACAATAAAAAGGTACAGAAACGTAGCTGGTTAGACTGATAGGAGACCGACTAGTAGGTTTCTGCAAAAATATAACTTTTCATACTGACACAGCTAAAAAGAAAATTTTCATTTTAGAGAGCGTAATAGCACTTGACACAGTGAGTTTTCCTGAGAGAACACACCACAGACCATAGCCAAGAAAGATTCAATCTCCTCTGCTTTCTGTTATCACCCAGTAACAAGCTATAGAATAAATATTTTAGAAGGCTACCCCGTGTTTCTGTATATTGTGGGATATACAAAGTTCTATGGGATAATGATTAAGCTTACTGCTTTTGAAGCAAGTCTATGTGATTTGAAGGAAAAAAAACGTTCGATGCATTAAGGAACAGAAAAGAGTAACACTGGTAGAGAAAGGGTTCTGCACCTTCATGTTCCTTTACTTCAGAGCCCATGTGCCACAGACAGCATTCAATTAAATAGTAGTCTTAGCAATAAACAATGACAATACACAGAACACTACACAACATCACTCCTTTGGCTCAAAGTAATTCCAGTTTGTTACTGAACAGTTGTTATGCAAAATCTCCAACACATGGCTGAAAACAATAACCTTCACATCCTCTAGCTGAAAAGGCTAGTAACAAATTGGCAAAGGAAATTTAGATTGCACATCCCTTACGTAGTTTTATTTCTTGTGCAGTTTGAAACAGCATCAGCGTAACTTTGGTATTCATCTGAAAAAGGCTTAGTTAGGAGAGCAGCTGGCAGTCACTACTTGTCCAAGGTAAGCTGTGTCTGAAAAGGCATCAATTTCCAACGTCTCCAAAAAAAATAATTTGTTTCAAACAAAACCAAACAAAATAATTTATTTTGAAATTTTTCATGTTCCAGCACACCCAAGATAGAGTTGTGTTCTCATAGGGATGTTAATAACAGTAGTAATAATAAAATCACGCTGAGAGATGATGAGGTACCATAGCAACGGTTGCAGCGAAAGCCAAGATCATTTCTAAAAGGAGTGCTCTGGGAAGATTAGCTTTTAGAGAACTTTCTATTGCCTGGCCTAGGCAAAGCCCTTCCAGTGGCCGTATTTTCCCTCCTGAAGCAGAATATTATTTAAGATTAATTTTTACAGTAAGAACGATCCTCCACTGGAACAACCTCCCCAGGGACATGGTAGAGTCCCTGTCACTGGAGGTTTTAGAGATGCAATTGGACCAGGTGCTAGATAATCTCATCTAGGCTCCCTCTTTCCCCAAAAAGGTTGGACAGATGATCTTTCAAGGCCCCTTCCAACCTGGGCTATTCTATGATTTTGGAGATACTGAGAGACTGGGGAGAGACATTTCTTTTCTATGTGACCACCAACATGCAAGCATTTATTGCGATCATTCCTTTTCAAATTGGCTAGAATCAATCATTATCAGAAAGGTAAGATGCTGACTTGCCTGGATGGAATTATGCAGGCCAGTTAGCATGGGGGGGATGCTCAGCAGCGTAAGAGCGCAGAATGCCAGAGCATCATGTTAGGATAAAGAGGTTTTGTGAAGTCCGAGAGGTCTCTATAATGGTTGATTACCTCCATATGCAATTCTTATCAAATTGACATGTTAAAATGACTCAGGTTGTTCAATGCATCATGAATGCTACTATCAGTAGTATTAACATAGAGCAGATGTACTCAATCTGCAGCTAAGGCAAAAAACCTCTTCTTCCCCACTTAAAAGCTAATCACCATTTACATATGTCTAAACAAACCCCTGATCTTCTAGAAACTCTATATGCAGCACTGTAACCCTCCATGTGTGTATACATATATAAATGGATTTTTTTAGATGTTAGCCATCTTTCATTTACTATAACAACTTGACCTAGGACCTCTACATTTGCTTTCCTTCCTTTTTTTTTTTTTTTCTCCGAAGCACCCTGCCAAAAGATAACGTGCCTTTACCAATTAGGCACCAAACACAGGAAAAAAAGTAGTTTCAAGTACTTTCAAGGACATAAACAACATATTTCATAAATAAAACCTAGCTTCCTCTTGACCAGTGGGTTTGGTGTGAAGGGGAAGCATTTGTGGGCAGGGCAGCTGAGGAGAAACTTCACCGGCTCAAGCCAGTGGTGAAATAACCCAGGTGATAGAGGGGCATAAAACTGTACTTCTCAGGATACTGGGAGACTAATAAAATTACAGGATCTCACAGTATTATGTGAAAAGGATCTGAGGAAGACAGAAGGGGCTAGGGAATGAAAAATTCTCTTTCCCACACCAGGAAAAGATATTTTCTCTTTCTGATATGTATCCTTGTTCCATCAAATATAGGTTCCTCCCATGCAGACATTTTATAGGCTTGTTGACATTTACAGAAAAGTAGTTCTGCACCTCTGACACACAAAATTTGTCACCAGAAATCCCTTTCCTTCACATGTCCTGTTGCAACTAAGCTTTATACAGAGCCTAGCACAGCAAGCCTCTGCACACGGCTATGGCACCTAGGAAACGACTGGAGGCTAATTTTAATATCCAGACATTTATACTTTGGAAGAATTTGTTGTAGAGATTATAAGGCATCCTTTAGGGGTCAAGTAGTCCATGTTAATACAGACTTTCAGAGCTGAAGTCATTCCTACTCATATTTTTGCTAATACATAGAACATTTTCATAAATATGATAGGCACAGACAGGATTTTTACAACCATCAATCTATCTTCACTGTCAAACACAGCAGCTGCTTTATCCTCAGCAAAAGCCTTTAGCAGGGTTCTGTGGCTCAGGCTGCTGCCCCAAAGGACCTTGTCCTTCGGCCGCAGCTGGAAGGACAGATTTGCCTTTCAGGATTCCAGGCAGCAGCATTTTTTTTTTACTTTATTCCTTTTTGATAGCAGCTGCTTTTTCTCTGTGGGAAAGATACCATCTTCTTGACATGCAAAAGTCCAGACGGCACATCAATGTATGGAGAATGGAATGAAAGTGTAGGATCAGCGATGATGTATTTGACCCAACCCACTATTTATATCCCCAATAGTCATGCAAACCTTGCCCATGATAGACTAGGGCATACTGCCTCCATGTGGCATACTATGCTTCAGACGTTCTTTTTTCTTCCATTTCACACAATCTTGTGTGGCTGTGAGTTTTGGAAATAGTTTTGGAAACAGTTTTGGAAACAGAAGGAATAGAATCCATACATTATTTCTGTAAGAAAGGGCAATATGGGGATGAAAAAAATAATGCATCATATTGGTAACAGTGTTTTTCACACAAATACTCACCAGGAACACACAAAGTACAAAGGCTATATATATATATGTGTGTGTGTATATATATATATAAAAAGAATGCTTTCTCAAATGTTTATTACATGATGAAAGAAGACTAATTGAAAAAAATTCACATCCTGAACTTGATCAAAGGGGACTGATTGCTCTTCAGGCCTACTAGCTAAAAGCAAGAAAGAGCAGTTTTGAAAAATTACATAAAACTGTATCACATTCTTTTTTCAGTTCATAACTGGTTTGATTCAAGCTTGACTAGAAGACCATAGAAGTTGCTTTAGCATTAGACCAGCTATCTGATTCAAGTAGCACTAACACTGTGTTATGGGTACAGGGTTCTTCCCATGACTAAAATGGAAATACTTTGTGAAATTGGTATATTTTCTTCCACACCACACTCATCCCCACCCCAAAGCCCCAACCTCCACCTACTTTACCAATGTTGTTAGATACAAGACCTAAAGAAGATAAAAACCAAGACAATTACTGTTTTGCCCATTTGTGTCTTTACATTTCAGTCCCTACCAGCTGACCACAAGTGCATTCCACCTCACTGCGAACAAGGTCTTCATATGTAATTTCCAGACTGGAAAGAAGTGACATGGTATGGCTGAAAGGGTTTTGTAAATTACCAGTGCCGTAATATTTAGGAGTTCCCTGCTCTGGTTAAGGTGTATTATGATGCTCCTGTCAAATCTCAATCTTACTGCACAAAACAGACAGTGCAAGAGGGTGTTAAATTTATGATGAGATTTTTTTCCTTTTTCTTTTTTTTAAGACAGTGCAAGGTCTAGAGACAGCATGAGAATCTCAAGATTAGGGTGTTGCAGGGTGCTATGCCAATCTTAGCTTACATTTCATTGTATAAACATTTTCCCATCTCTGTTTGGTATCCAGCAAACAATTCTATTAGAAATTTTCCAAATGTCTGTGTGTTTTTGTCTCTAAGTACTGTCCATTTCAAAACTTTTCAAAGTATAAATTAGTAGCTATACATCTGTTGTTGTTGCTCTGTTTGAACCTGTTGCTGTCCTGACTGCTGTTGCGTTGGCTGTGCCTGGGGCTGCAAGACATCAGTCTGAGGCACCGACCTCCACGTCAGAGGATGCTGTTCCGTTATCTGGTTCCCTAGAGGAGCAATGGAGTTCACCAAGGTGGTCAGGTTTATAAAATGGGCCACAGACTGAGGATGCGCTGCCTCTGGCTGCGGCTGGATCTGAATGTCATTTTGGCGGTTGTGCAGCATGGCGGAACCACTGACGGTGTCAAACGTCACGGTGAGAATCGAGTTGTCCAGCTGTAACTGGCGTTCCGGTGCAGTCAGATGGCCCACAGCCACTGGCTGGAGGTTTGTGAATTGGGTTCCAGCTGGCGTCGTAATGGGGGTAACAGTGATATTTGTCAGCCCGACAGAACTGGAAGGGGCTGTGACATTTGGGTCGCCAAGGGTCACCACCACCTGAGGAAAACCAGAAAGGTAGCCTCAACCTTCTATCTTGCAGCTGACTACCAAATGTCAAACATCAAGAAAGATCAGCTGAGTGCTGATGGGCTCACATGTTCCCACTGCCAGCAAGAGAAGTCACACACACAGTGGGGAATGTAGAAAGCTTGGAATACAACAACTTCCACATATAGAAATAAGAAGGTAACGGGAAGGAGGCATATGCAACATTCAAAACAAACAGCTGAATTAACTTTCACACTTTTAGTCACAGCTTCAGCCAGTCAGTGGTATCTGGCAAACAAGGAGATGGTAACACCAAAGGAAATGAAAACAAACATGAGGAGCTTACCGGTCCAACTCCTTGTTTTTTTAAAGTCTCTATTCATCTTTGTATTACCAGAGTTTATCAAATTACCTCTAAATGTTCCCATCACTCTTTCTGTGTTTGCTATTAGGAAAAAAGAAGGGCTATCCCTCTAAGTAGTGCCTGCTACCCATCACCCTGCTACTGGAGCTCACCTGCTGGATGCTCTGTACAGCTGAATTAGTCTCATCTCCAACATTCCCTGTGAATTCACCTTCCTTCTCTGTGTATTCACTGAAGGCAGGGTCCTCAGGCACTTGAGCTTCCTCCTCCTCACCTGACTTTTGTTTTCGCTTCTGGCCACGCTTAGGAGCTTTCACATGCTGCTTCCCTTCTGGTAATTCTCCCTGTTCCAAGGCTAATTCCGGCTGAAGCAAACACATTTCCAAACAAAACATCAAGTCATTTTGCTTACTCGAGTTCCAAGTAAGAGACTATCACCTGAAGTTGGTTTACTGTCGATTCTCAAGTGAAGAAACAAGCTTTAGCAAAAACCCGATTTCAGGGAATGAGACCTCACCCTGTAATTACCTACATTTTACCAGCACCCATGTTATACAACAAAACAGATCAACAGCTTGCATCTGCTTATACATGTTAAGCTGGGGCTGACTCTCTAAAAAAGCACATTCCCTGCCCATCAGCCTACACCCAGCTGTATTATGTACCAAAAAAGCCATGTCCCCATCTCACCCTCCAGTAGGCCTGGAACCTAGCTGCCACCAGAAGTCTGTAATGACGAATTTACCTGAACAATCCCAATTGAGGAGGCATCAATGGTAGTCGTCTCTGGCAGCTGCTCTAAATCATCAATCCTCACCGAAAGAATCTGTAGACAAAGAGGCATCAGCTGGTGAACTGCAGCAGTGCCTACTACAATCAGACAATACAGCATTGCCCTAATAAATCCTCTCACAAAGCAAAAACGATGTAATCTAACATTTTACATATATAATTTAATACAAGGCATTTAATGATCGCGTTTTTTAAATAACCTTTTGGCATATAATCTTTTCCTTCTCACTGAAAACCAGCAAAGTTTAAAGACAACGATAGAAGAATATGTTTATTTTCATATTCTAGATGAAACACAACCCACTGGGAAGTGATGAATTCTATAGAAGACAAACAATGTGTTTGAAAAAAAAAACCCTATTATTTTAGCATTTCTATTTATAAACCTATCAACTGTGTCCTACTCCATTATTTTCAGCTGAATCTATACATCTCAGCTTATCAAAGAACAGAGACAAATTGCCCTCTGGATTGCAGATATGTAGCTGCATTTTTAATCAAAAAATCAATAAACAAAGATTTTTGTTGACTTCCTTCCCAGTCATGATAAAAAAATGTTCACAGCAAATCAATACTAATGATAAACTAGTAGTTTAAAAAAAAAAAAAAAAAAGCCTCAAAGGGAACAGACAAGCCTTAGTCAACCTAAACAAGAAATGCTGAGGAGAAACACAATAGTTATTCAGAAATTTAGAATGCAGAAAAAGCCCCGTTGGGGTCAGACAAAACATTCCTCTAATCCAGATTCTCTGCAGTCAGCATTCATCTTTAATACTATGAATAAGTTTGTATCATCAGCAGATGCTGCTGTCACCTCTCTATTCACCACTTTTCAGATCACTTCTGAATACAGAGAATACAATGGGGAAAAAAGAATCAATTATACTCACTAATGGATGAAGACAAAACATGAAAAAAATATACATTTAATCTGAGGCAGATAAAGAAAAGGGATTTAAATAATCAGAACAACTTCATTTTTAGGGACTGACAATCAGATACATTTGCTGCTGAAACATAACATAATGAAGGGGTTGATTCAGTTAAGTGCATGCTTAACAGACACTACCTAAAACTGGCCCCAAAAGAACAGAAAAAAGAGAGAGAGAAAAAAAAAAAAGAAGTAATTTCTTTCAAGTCACTGAAGGCCATAAACTTTCCTTACAAAAAAAAGTGAAAAAAAAAAACCCAAACTGAAAAAAACCCCAAACCACCCCACAATCTACCTGCCAAACCAACCCACCTCTGGATGTTTACGCCTCATATGTCGACTCATGGAGGCTCTGGTAGAAACCTTTGTCCCACACAGCTGACAGCTCTGGGCTTCTACCTTATCATGAGTGAGCTGGATGTGCTTCTGTAGCATGTAATCAGTGACATATTTCTTATCACAGACTGAGCATGTCCACTGTTTTCCTACTGGTGGCAGATGGAAGGAAACGCTGTTAGCAACAGACCCCAAAGATGAGTATCATATTGTCAGCATCTCAACAAGAGGAACAATTTTGTGTTGGTAACATGATGTGTAACACCAGTTCCAAGACTGGCAAGTCTAAAGCAAGCCTAGGAACAAAATTAAGATACTGTCTTTGGATACTGTGTTTTAGAGGATTTACCTGTATGAATCAACTTATGAGTCTCCATTGTATTTCTTTCACTAAACGTCTTGCCACAGAGCTCACACATGAAATCTTTGATTCCTGCATGAAGAGCACATTTAGCGTCAGAGTGAAAACAGTCTAAGGTATCTGGGACAATTCTGAGTCTTATATTACTAAAAAAAAATTTTAAAAAACCCAAAAAAATTCCAAACAAGTAGAAGCAGCCCAGCTTCACCAGCTATTCTTATCTAAGCCATGCCACTATATCTGGCAGAAAATGAATCCAAGAGAAATTGATGTGGGAGGTAAAATTTTGGTTTGGGAAATGAGAACCTGAAGACTAACTTAAAACAAAACCAACACTCTAGACCTACCCTAGATCAAAACAACCTCTCTTAAAAAAGCAAAACGTGAAACCAACTAAACTATGTATCTTAATTGTGTAACAGGTAGTCTTGGCTGACTGAAAGGACAAAAATCTCACTTTTCAAAAAGCAGAATACGCATTTTTTTAATTAGTGTTCCTTATACTCTCTGACATTTCTAGCTAAGAGTTCTCTCAGGAAGCATTTAACTGATTCAGTGCAACTTTTGTACATCTTTGGAGACCTCACCTGTGTGTCTTTTGTAATGCTTCAGCATGTTGACTTTCTGTGCAAATTTTCGGTGACATTCTTTGCATTCATATTCTTTAATCCCTTTGTGAAGTTTCATGTGGTGACGAAGTGCATGTTTTGTCTTCATTCCTGAGAGACAAAAGGTACAGCATGATAATTAGTCCATTGCTCCCACCTTCGGAGGAAAACTCAGGATGATCATGTTGTTAGCCAAGAGCTCTAAGATTATATTTTCTGCATGTCCACAATTGCATATTTTTAATTGTTTACGTAGCAGTGCACATTATCATTATTATTTTAATTCCAGGAAAAAGCTCTGGAAAACATCTGAGTAACCACTGAGGAAGAAGCAAAACAGCAGGGACAAGCAAAGACAAAACATCATTAGAGGTGTCAGACTTACTACCTTCCACTAAAATACCAGTTCAGATTTGTTCAAGTTATAATGTGAACAATGCAAAAAGTCAAAGCAACTATGACTCTTAAGTCTCTTACAGAAAGAAATTACTCTATTTCTTAAGCCTGAAAACAGCCTAGAATGAAAAAAATAACTTGTATTCATTTTTGTGCTGCAAATGCATTGGAACTCAGTCAGGCAAGCATGCCTGAATCTGACAGAAGCACATTTTATTAAAATCAGTTTTGTCTTACAGGGCGTGAAACTAAATTGTATGAAATTAGGGGTAGTTTATGTAACTATAAAGCTCCTGATTAATACAGTTTCTACCTCTCAAAAATGCAGGATTTGCAGCACTCCGAGGACCTTCCCAATATTCTAAGAATGGAAGTAGTTTTAATTCAGATATTCACCTGCTATTCAGTATCACAATTAATGGAAAACAAGGCATTAGACATACCTTTGCCACATTCTGCACACAAGTATTCTCGGATATTATCATGGACTCGCATATGTTCTTTTAACATGTCTTTCCTAGCAAATGATTTGCCACATTGCTCACAAGCATGACTTTTTACACCTTAAAAATAAATTTAAAAGACAACATAAACAAAAAAATGTTAATGAAAAATGTGCATCTCCTAAAACCTGACTAAACTGGTGAATTAGAAGGCAACAGTCCACCTGTGTTGTCAACCACATCTTTCATGCATATGGTAGCCCAAACTAAATTAGACGACTTCTGAGAGAGAGAAAAGCTGGCTTTTTGTGTGAGATCTGAAAAAAAAGATAAAGTCTGAGGTAGGAAAATACTGAATAGCATGAAATAATAATGAGCTGCTAAAAATGATTTTGCAATAGCAGTTTTCAGCCTGTGTAATGGTGAGAAGGTGGCACAGATAAGAATTTGGGGAAGAACAGAATACAGAATTAGAATTTTTAGCAGGTGAATCCCACATCATATTAACTAGGAATCTGGATTGTGTGCCTAGACCAATTATCTTCTTTAATACTACCTGCTTTAGAAAACCAGTCTACCCAAAAAGCATAAATAACATTTATCTTATTGTAACTTAAAGTAAAAACCCATAACTTATTTCCTCCTGAAACAAATAAGGCAAGCACTGGCAACAGACATTTCTCTTTAATATTGATAATAATAAAGAAACACAACATTTTTACCTGTATGTATAAGCTTATGTCTTTCCAGGTTTCCTATACTGTTAAAAATCCTTCCACAGATTTCACATGGATGGATGTATCTGAAAACAAAGAGGCCAAAAGCTGTGATTCTTTTCTTGAGGCAGAAGTGGTTTTCAGGCTTCTCTATCAGTAACTGTATTTCATTTGGTAATACTAATTACTATAAAAGTTCCTTGAAATGTAAATGCATTTTTAAAATGAGCCTTAAGAAACCTGTAAGTTCACTGCAAGCTTGGAGCAGTCTGGCATAGCTATATCCTCAAATCATTGTTTCTAAAAAATATTTACCCAAATCATAGATTTATGCTTTACAAAGCCCAAACTGGGAGGCTGTTGACTAATCAGCTGTGTGAAGCGAATCATTAGTTTTATATTTCAAGCTTTAATAATTGTTTTAACACCCATTGTACAGTTTCAGATATTTTAGTACAGCTCGATTCTCTAAAAGCATCAGGTGGGAGAGCCACTGTAACTTCAAAAAAGATAGCTCCTCTTATTAGTCCAACACGTCATCTTACTTCTGCACATTAGGATCCGGCAGGTTCTCCCGATGAATGACCATGTGTGCATGGTAAGTTGCCTTCAAGGCAAAACGTCGGTTACAAATGCTACAACCATAGCCTTTCTCCTTGTGCACGTCCATTATGTGCTTCAGGTACTCCTTCCCTCTGCCGAAAGTCAACTGTGGAATGAACCAATAGTGAATGAAAGGCGAAAAAAGTCCTCGGGAACAGCAAAGACCTAGCAACACATTAGCGAGATACAGAGTCAGAGCTAACAGATGTAAGTATCCTGTGTATCACTAGATGAAAAATCTGTGAAAGCTGGATTTAGGCCTGAACCACTTTGGCCATTACAAGCACATTGCTACAGGACATCAGTTAACTCATTTGGAAAACTAGCTTGAGATGTTATCTCTGCTTCTTACACTGCACAAGTAGAGGACCTCCAATTATTTGTGCACTGAGGAACAGCCTTGAAGAGAGCCATGTCTAACCTCCGCTAGCTGTCAAAGCAATGACACCACAGATGGAAAAACTGTCTTTTGGGCTCTAGGGGCATAGTAAGCTCTGGTCTGCATAGTAAGATTTGGCACTAGCTCCAGAAGAGTTGGTGTTTCTAGGCGTTGCAAGGCAGTGATTCTAGCTCAGCTCCTGAAAGTGCTACAACTACGACAGACAGGTGCTCCGCTACTTAGCTCCCTGGGCTAAGTAACCCTGCGTATGCATAGATGCTCCAACGTATCAGGGCAAAGTGCCATAATGACATGATCTTTTGCTCCAATTTTGGAACTACTCAGGGTATTGCTGATAGCACTGCACAGCTTGGTGAAGGTGTACTTTGGGATGAGAAAAAAAAATAGAGATATTCTTAAGAGCTCAGAAGAGATATTTCACTAAGACTCATTCGTGTGTTTTTCTCCCTTAGGAACACATGAACAGATATTTTCAGCCAAAAAGAGCCTCCCCATCTCATCACAGGTAACACTCATTTTCCACAGCTGTTGCCTTACACAACTATTTACTTCACAAACACCTGCAAAAGCACTAAAAAACCCAGCTTCCAAAAAGGGCTTTCTAACTTGAATGGCACAATTGCCCTCATTTGGAAGCGTACAATTTTATATGTACCCATTAAGTGTCAGGTGTTAAAATTACCACATTGAAAGCAAGCACGTTATTAACTGCTGTGATACCACATCTTCCTATGCTTATTGACATAAACTTAAAATCAGCTTGCACTTAAAAAGAGTTCACAGATAAGAACAGAAAACTGAAGTAGTATTATCTCTGTGTCTTTAAAATGACAATAAGCTAAGCACTTCCACCACATTAAGTGAAATAAGCGCTGATTTCCAGGGGCCAAGTCAGTAGCTTAACTACCAAAATTCCCCTGGTCCCTGTATCAGCTTGGCCAGTTTTGTTGTTCTCACTGATTGCTTTTGCATCCCACCCACTCCAGCACAGCTTGTCACCCAGTAACGGCACAGAATCCAAATGGGCCTTAAGGACCCCATTCTTCCCCATTACTTCTTTACAAAATTGCAAAAACCATGCAGAGAGGGTTAAAAAGTCTTCCTCTCTCAGCTGACAACTGAGTAAAGTATGTTCCAGCAGTACTTCTAATGCCATCCTGTGAGTAAGAGAGTAGGCCAAGAACAAGCAGTCACGCTGAACACAAGCAGCAGTCTTAATCCTCCAAACTGGATATCCACTAGGGGACCGTCTAATCTCATCAAAATTAATCATTCTGGGGACTGTATTATTCAGAAATGCTATAATGATTTTAATTTGCACATAATTAAAAGGTAGTGTAAGATTTGAATGTTCCTTTCTTGTTTCTTCTTCCAGTTTTGCTTGCTTGCTTCCTTGCACACAGGTAAGCGTACGTATGTGTATTTCTCTTTTTAAGTGTTTAGCATTCACCTTACAGAACGCTACCTAAAGTCTTATGGAGAGCAGACCTGTGGACTGGCCTTCTCTTTGTGAACCCTTAATGTTATTTAAAATTCTGAATGATTTATAGACATCTCCGCTCCCTCCCCCCATCCTGAGACAAGTTAATTTGAAAGTATTTAAAGCTACCTGGCACCTTTTGCAGCTATACTTGTGAGGCTCAGAATCTGCACTTTCATCAGAGTTGTCATCGTTTTCCTCTGATGAGATTCCAATTTTACCAATGAACTCTTCTCTCTGGTGATCATCCATTAGTGCTATGTCCTGTGTAGAGTGGGAAAGAATATTCTGGTTTAATAGATTAAACTTCTATTTCAAAAGGTAACACCTACTCAGCTTTTGTTGCTGTGCAGACTGCCTTGCATTAACAATTGCTGTAACATTATTTATTTAAAATATCCTCCTCCTTCATTCAATTCAGGTAAACAAAGTTCCTCTGTCCATGACTAAACAAGGAACAACTGTTCATTCAAACAAATAATACTAGATTTTTTGTGTGTAAAAGGAACTTTAATGTAAACAGACTCAACTGGTACAGTATTACATCCATAAAAGCATCTCTTACGAGCACTGCTGAGTGATACATTCCCTTTCAATTCAATTCCTTACAATTCAGTGTTAACCCAGTTATGTAAAAATAATCTGGGTCTGATTAAGCACTATTAATAGGGGTTTTTTTGTGATTTGAACATTTTGATAAAACCAGGTAAGGAACTCAATACACAGGCAGTTATGCTGGCATATGCAAGAGAATCACAATCACTGGCACGGAAAGGGCAGGAACAATTAGTTCTCTTGTCTGTTTTTTTCCCACAAAGAGAGGGGATGACAGTAACCCCTCAGCCCAGCCAAACTACAACTGGAACAATACATCTGTCTGCAGCCTTCCTGTTAAGTTATTCTCCCGGCTTTAAACTGAGCAACCTCTGTGATTCACCCAAGGTCACAGAGGTGTTTTTTTGCACAGTATTCAGTAGTGTTCTGCAGTGGTAGCTGAAGTAACTTCAAATATGATAGCCCACATACTCTGTAGCAATCCAGATGTAGAAACAGAGCCATGGGTAGATCAGAGCACAACTCATGGTAGGCTGCTGTAGAAACATCACTGCACAGGGTACATAATCACTGTTGTGTTGCCAGTATGAACACGTGGCCATAACAGTCTCAATACATTTGTACGTTCATGTGTCTGCTAAGTAATATGCCTTTTCTAACAAATTATTAATACAATACCTTAAAATGGACATGAATATGATCTCTCAACACATCCACCCTGAAAAATTTACGTCCGCATATTTCACAAGTGTATTTCTTGTCTCCATGTGTTAAAAGGTGTTTGTTCATATTGCTTCTACATGAAAATATCTAAAAGAAAAGAAAGAAGGGGTTTTGTATCATGTCCAGCAGAGCTACAGTTCTTTGCACGTTATCCAGCAGAGAGCACAGAACATATTTACTGTCCTGTTTTGTTCATTCTGGCCCAAAATATGTAGGGGCGAGCTCCTGTTATCCAGCCAGCAGGCTACCTCAGAAACTGCTGGCACAGCAAAATATAGGTGTACAGTTCCAAGGAACTGACTGAAATTGTCCATTCATCAGAGGTGGACTTCCAAAAAAGCTGCAGCAGAATTACATAGGATAGATTTAGAAATATTTAGACACTGTCTTTTGAGTCACGAATGTTCCACCTATCTATAAAGACACATCCACAAAATCTACCTTCATTGATATGTAACATATCCAAAGCCTCAAAAACCAAGGTCTACACACCAACTTAAGAGTTACTTGAGTACATCTTGCACCATGAATCATTAAACATTCATAAAATCACTAGTGAAATCCCCAGTCTTTGTACCTGTGATAACAGCAACTTAACAACATGAGCGTTAAACGCCCAAATGCAACAGTGCCATGACTACACCATGAATTCACTTTTATTTCTAACAGAAAATGATTCCCAATGCACAGAGTCAACTCCAGCTGTTTACATTCTGGCAGAAAAACTTCACTCTAAATAACATAAGCCATGAGATTTCACCGACAGACACATCGGCCATGTTACATGTGTTACATTGTGTTACATGTCCTGAAAAAAAGTCTAGTCTGAACTTCAGTTTTGTTCTTATCTTTGTCCTACCAGGTCCCACCATCCATGGCCACAGTGGGCTCGGATATATAATGGGACTAAGGCAGTTTAAAGAGTAACGTCTTGGCTGGGTGACAGGGCTTGCTGGTAACTAACCACGTGCCTGTCCGAGCTGCAAGGTAATCTGACTTGGCACATACCCTCAGTGCAAGTCATTTACCTCAACCTTTTGGCAGGCTGTCTGCCTATGCAGGTAGGCTGCTACTGTGGTTTAATACATGGGTGGTAACTTGTAACGCCTCGGTAACTTGTTTGGAGGCGCTGGGTTGAGGCGCACTGTACCCCTGCGGTATCCTTGGAGCTACCATGCAGAGCTTCACATGGCACACGCCGGCAAAGATGCCTACCTTCCCGCACACGGGGCATCCTGAAGGCTCCTTCTTGTATCGAACCATGTTTTCTGTGCTGTGCTCAAAGTCTTCTCTTTTCACACGCCTCACCCCTTAACAGAACAGTCCCCATCAAAAAAAAAAAAAAAAAAAAAAAAAATTAAACGATGGTTTCCCACTCCAATCTGCATGCCCTTTCAGGTGAATATTGTAAAGAAGAGTGAAACACTGGGAAGAGCCTCAATGCAGAATTTAATTGCTAAGAGAAAGATAATTTCTAAATTAAGACGGTGTCTTAAGAATATAAAAGCAGTCTGGCAAAGTCATGTATTTTGGCTTATTGGTTATTACACCAATTGTAAAATGTCTGAAAACAGACATCTATTGTCAACACCTGGAAACAGACAGATCTCGTAGGCCTTGGCACTTCAATCAGACATCTGGCCCACAAATTCCCCCTCACAGTCTCTAAGGAGAGAGGCAACCACCCAGCATCATCTTTAATGCTCAACAAGGATTTCAGACCTCTTTCTCTGCTACTTTCAGGAGGGAAGAGGGCTGCTGCTGTTCTGTGACAGCTAAACATGAGACGCCTTGCCACTGCCATTCAACCTCTTGTCCTCTAGCTGTCCTCTAGTTCATCACACAAAGGTCTGAATCGCAAGAGCAGCCAGTGATGGTTGGCTATGCCCAAAGCAAATTAGACAATCTCGCTGCTTTTTTTAAAGCACCTTTGGTTTTCTCATCTGGATCGCTAGAGGCATTTTAATACATATTTTGGCAATCTACCATCACCCAAGTTTTCCCAGAGTCTTTGAGTACCTGTAATATCCTTAGATGTTTCAGATTTTGAACAGTAAACTCTTATAATCTCATTTTCATATATTCTCAAGATGTTGAAAGATAACATCACACAGCATTCCATTTATACTGTATTTATGTAGTAGTCACTTTCAGTTGTACATTGCAAGTTAATTCTCTGCCTTCGAATTTTCAGGTTACCACACTTTTTTTTTTAAAAAAAAGAAAGAATAGAATTCAAAGAAAGAAAAAGGCAGAATTAAAATCAGCTAAACTACTGCATAGTAAGCCAAGCAACTTTCACGTGACTGTTAGTAGCACTGGATCCAATCACATAAGGCTGAAAAAAAAGGTAGATGCATCTCCTAGAAAGTTTTTGACAGAATTAGACAACTCCCCTCCAGGATTCGTTACTATTATTTTTAATAAATGTCACATTTTGCTGAAACCTGCTACTCCGGATCAGGTAACTGACAAAAAAAATGACAACTACCATCAAGAATCTAATGCGCAATCATTTCGTTAGCCTTCCCACCTCTACTGCTGTTTCAAGAGTAATAATTAGGTTGATCTGCAGTATGAAGAAGTCTTAAGGGCGCAGGAGCAGGCTGTCCCCGTGTGTCG